TAATTTATATTTGGTTTAATAATATAATTTTTTATAAAGATAATAATTATTTATTGGGCAAAATGCACAAAATAGCAATCTACTTTCATAAATTTCTTTATTATAGCATTGTACTTTCAGTTTTTCTTATTACAGCAATGTACTTTCAAACTATTTTTTATTAGAACATTGTACTTTGAAAAATTTACCCATTACAGCATTAGGTAACATTTTGTTTTAAATTTATCCAATATACTAGGTTTCCATGCTAACTCGTTGTCCACGTAGGCTGTCCACATGTACTATAGTGATGTGACTTTCTTACTACATCATTGTACTTTCAAAATTATTTTATTATAGTATCTACTACTTCTTATTAAACACTTAATTTTAATATTTAGATATTTTACATGTTATTTAATAAATGTATTAAATGAATTAAAAAATTCTAAATTATTCATTAATATACCAATATCAATAAAACTAGTATAACACAACTTATCTCGTTAACACTTTTACAAAATATGTGTTTTTTGAAAAAAGGAAAATAAGAATTGTTTATTTTTTTACTAAAAAATATTATCTTTTAAATAATATATTATATTTGTTCAAAAAAATTTTACTTGACGTATAAATATATTAAATTAATTAGACTTTTTTGAATTATTTATTAATATAACAATATTAAAAAAATGTAGATAACAATTTATTTCGTTAATATTTTAAAGAAAACTTTAAAAGATATGTATTTATTTGAACAACATAAAATAGGAAAAGTTACTTTTTTTATAAACAAAATATATCTCAGAAATGGTGTTTCATATTTATTTAATAAATATTTTACTTCAAGAATATTTAATTTGAATGCAACTTAATAAGAAAAAGTAAAAAAAAATTAAATGTTTTTTTAGATCATAGCAATGAAAAATGAAAATCCCTCATAATAATTTGAAATAAGTTTTTATTTTAATTTTAGTTAAGACATCAAAATGATGTGGCATCCACATCACCTCATTAAAGTCATACAAGCAAAAAAGTCAAAGGGTTAACCGGTTTAAAAGGTAACAGGTTACCCATTGCTATTATGGGTAGATTTTTTAAAGTACAATGCCTTAATAAAAAATAATTTGAAAGTACATTGCTGTAATAAAGAAAACAAAAGTAGAATGCTATAATAAGAAATTTTATGAAAGTAGGTTGCTATTTCATGCATTTAACCCTTATTTATTTTGTTGGAACTCGATAATTATTCTAATTATATTTTAATTTTTTATATTTTAAAATGAGATGTTCATCCTCTATTTGATTATGTTTATCCGCAATTATTTATACGAATTCAAATATCGAGCTTTAATAAGTTGTAC